GAAAGACTTTGGAGATGCTTTGAGAGTGACAGGAAAGCTCTGGAAATAGTTACATCAATAAAGAATCAAATTATTTAACAAGAACACAGCCTCCTGAAGCTCTACCCTGAGCACAATACATGAAACAACTCAGAGGATCAAAGCGCCCTTCGTCTTTGTGGAGTTCCACCTTTGCTGCTTCCAAGGGGGCTGCACCATGAGGACTGCTGGGACTATTGAGGCAAACACAAGTCACGTGGAACAGCAGTGCCATTTATCTTCACTGTTATCAACTATGAGCCTCTCATTTGAGAAAAACATGTTTTAAAAACCCCCAGGCTCTGCCAGGCTACATCAGAAGGAACTGAAAGCAACAAGAGATGACAAAGTAACATTTATATGGTAAAAAGTCCTAACATTGATACTGTTCCTGAAATGCTGTGAATCTCCTTTGTTTTCTTCGCTCTCATTCCCTCCCTATTCCTTTAAGAATAGGGGAAGTCACCAGTATTGTAACCTCATAAATCACAGTAACTACCCTTTATACACTCCTCATCTGCCCCCACAGCTCAATGTTTTATTTCTACTGTTTTAGTGTGATAGGGAGGAAAACCTAATACACTTGGGCAGTCATGGTTTTCACTTGAATTTGTCAATGGTGAGATTATTTATAGTGTTCTAGTGTCCATGAGGATACTAGATTTTTTAATATTACTACTACCATGGCCTTGTTTTGAAGAGTGTAATGCTAGTGTACACCAGCTTTTGTGCTCTTCTTCTCACTTTCTCTTTGTCTCACTAATAATGCTGAGTAGGAAGCAGCTTAGTGGTTTCTCCTGAAGGCTTGCCTTCTACCAGGAGATGGGTTTCAGGCAGTACAATTAAACCAAGTGCCCTTTTTCACCCCACCTCATGCCTGCAGTGATAGAAACTTTAGCAATATGCATGGGAAAGGGAGGGGACTATGTGCTCTTGTCAGAGACAGAGAGTGCATGCTGCACCATCAGCTAGAATGGTAAACCAGCTAAGGATCTTTAAAGTATATCTACATCTACACAAGGAGGCAAAAACAGGCTTCAGCCTATCACACCCAATGTTCAAGAGCTGAGCAAGTTACAGATACTGCTAGTGGAAAGGAGACTTTGCCAGGCTCAGCCCAGCCCACGCCCAACCTGTCCTTGCTGTGAAAATGAAATCATGGTGTTTGTAATAAAACATGTATTGTTTTGGGTTCTCCGTTACCAGCTCTGCTGCTGTACCCATGTACAGATTATTTATACAATAAGGCATAAATAAGCTGTGTGGCAGAGAGCTGGGACTTGACAGTGAGATTGGAGCATGCCTGAATGGATGCTGGGTCCTTACTCTCTGATACCATAGCCAAGCATGAGACCCCACGCAGGGCTCCCAGGAGCTACCAGGGGAGCACTGGCCCTTGCTATGGACTCTAAAACTGCAATTGAAATAAAAATTTTCACACCATATAACACAGAAACAAGGGTGAAACTACCACATGAAAGGTGAAGAGGCTACAGAAAAGCCTGGAGAAAGAAGAGAACAGGTATCTCCACTAGAACAGGAAAGTGATAAAAATACAGTAAGATCTCTTAAAGCTTTTCTGAAAGAGGTTCTAATTACTGAGCCATCACTGATTTGTAACCAAACTTAGTCCCATCTACAAACATATTTATATTGGTGCCCATGGAGCTGATCAATTATTCAGTTTCTCATTAGCAGAGCTATCCCTTCAGTCATTAGCTGTGTCTTCCTTTACCCCTGTCAGTACTGAATATTGAAATTACTAGCCTTGTGGAATACAAAAAATGAAAAATACAGATCTGATGTGCAAGACTGTATTAACAGATTAGGCAGCAAGAGTTTCATTTCTATTTCCAGGGTTTTTAATGGAGAACATATTGTGCTGTTCACAGATCACCATTCTTCTGTGGGACAGTCTCATTTAAGAAGGTGATAGAAGATACCCCTTCCTATAAAATGTGTTCCAGTAATAGTGTAATTGATGCAGTTGCTACTTCAGATACAACATGCAAAAAATTAGCTCACGTAACATTTTTCAGTACATGTAAATAAGTGTTCATACACATGTCCTATTTATTTTTGTTCAATGTCCCTGAAACTTCTTCATTGCTTCTTCGTTTCTTGTATGGCCACCTGGGCTCACATCTTTCTCTTCAATCATTTCAGATCCAGATAAATCAGAGAGAGAGAAAGAGAGAGAGAGAGAATTATATAACCAGAAAGCAGGAAAAAATGAGATAAAAAAGCAAATCAAGATGTATCAAAAAAGCAGCTTGACTTACCATTTTACATGAGCAGAACGATCACCAAAGAGTTTAACTCTGTGCAGCAAACTATATGTGAGTAACATGCAGTACGGCCTCTCCTCATGTAAATGATGCTTTGGATTGTCTCAGATCTTTTGTGTCTGGATCACAGGAAGAATGTGGGTGTCTTGGTGTTAGGGATGAATTTCCTTTCTTGCTCCTCCTGTCTTTTCTCTTTGTTATTTAACAGAACCTTCTTTCTTCTCTCAAAATTATATGGATTTGTTGATATCTTCATAAATAAGTATTCACCGTAAGTATTTTCCCATGGCATTGCATATTTAAAATCTATTGTGAAACTTTAGGCAGGGAAAAAAAAGCTGGAGCTATTGGGGTGGAAACACATTTATTATTTTGCAGAGTAATTACCACCAACTTCATCTCTGTATATGGACACTACATAAGGGGTATCTGTGACTGTTTGAAATTCCTTCTACACACTTCACTATTTCTGTATATATCAGAGGTAGGAGGCACACACACATGAGCCTGTCAAGCTCGGAAGATGCATAGGTGGAAAGTGGATAAATGCAGCAAACTACAGGAAGTCAGAAGTAGTCATCTTAAGATGGACTTAATAAAACAGAGGGTGCGGTACAGACAGAAAAAAACAAGCTATAAAGCCTTCATTTGCTCTGTTAATCGGCATTAAAATTAAAATATTATGGGAATCTACCTGGTGGGATCAGTAAATTTTTAACGTAAATCCTTTAAGTCTTCATATACTCATATTGAGACTATATGTAATTTCATCACATGTTAAAAACTTGCCCCTGGCTGTTCATTTTCTTTTCCCAGTCATGTATTTACAAGTTTATTACGTTACTAAAATAACAGAATACACTTCCTAGTATTGTTGGGAGACTGAACATATTAACAGGTCACCTCACCTGTTTTTTTTCTGATATTTTTTTAAGGAAGGGAAATCTAGAACATGAGGCAGGATTAAGCAGTGAGTGTACTCTCATCCCATATTTGACTGCAGAATGAAAATGGGAGACCCCAGGTCTTCTGGCCCCAAGTTTTGCACCTCGCCTCTAGACAGCAGTTCACTGCTGACTCAAAGACATGTGAATCTGGTTTGGAAGAAGAAAGTGAAAAACAAAGGCTTTGTTCATCAAAACATGTGCTTAGCTAACTAGCTGCAGCCAGGTTTGCTAACACAGCTGTATTCGGTAACATCAGTGGAAGGACACCGCTTGGGCAATTTCTGTGACTGTAGTCAGCACTAAGGTGCCTCTTCATATTCAGGCCAGAGACCTGAAAGCTGACTGCATGCATGAACCTCCGCACTGCTCTGGGGCTCCGCAGCCTCCAAAGGTAACCACTTATGTAATTTCTATACTGTCTGTTGCCATAGCAATGGAAGGTGGGGGGGTTTTCATTGGGTGATGCTCAGTGTGCCGGTACCTGTCCTGTGGGTATGTGGCTCTACCAAAGCCTCTGAGAGCTTTGTCATTGACTTCACTGGGGTCAAGATTTCAGTCCAAATAAAGCTCCAGCCCAAAGGCACTAGATACAGTTTTTTAATGAAATCTTAAAGCGTAAGAGTACTCGCCATGGCCTCAACTTTTAGTTTAAAGCACTTCAGAAAATTTACTTCTGCTGTCAGGAGGTACTGCTTTTAACCCTGGGGCAATGATCTTACTTCAATTTAGGTGTCTGATATCATCTGTCAGCTTTTTGTCTTCAAATATCAAGTGTATTTTCGTTGCATCTCTTGCACAGGCTACGTACATATGATGCTATGCAATAAGGAGAAACAAAACATGTGATTTTTTAATTATTTTTCTGCTCTTCTATTTTTTAATCTCCAGATGGTCCCTGGGACTGGTGATGTTTTCTTTAGTCTATATATTTCCTGCTTTAATTAGCTTACTTAACCAGTAAGCTTTAATTAGCTTACTTAACCAGCACACATTTGAGACACACGTGATCAGATAATATCAGGTGCTAATGTTTAATTGCTCTCACAAAATTAGAAGCAGATAAATGGTTGAACTGTAATTGAATGATCTTATTAGAAGACAAGCTGATCAGTGTTGTGACATAACTTGAGAGATTCCCAGGCTTGCATTAATTTCACATCAGCTGGGGCTGCTGTAACGACAGCGAGCACAATGCAATTGCTCTGTTAGAGAGCAAGATCAGAGCTGTGTGACTGAGATCTGCCACACTTATTTAGCACGTGAGGGGCTGGCACAATTTGTGTCACTAAGAGCAGTGAAGCAAGCTATGGTTTGATTTACCACCTCCTAAGAAAAAAAATGCAGCAAACAGATCTTTTGGGGCAGTATTTTGAAAAAAGTTGTCTCTCTCTCCATCCCTGCCCCTCCCTACCATGTGTGCTTGTGGGAAAGGACACGCGGCCACCAAGGGCACCTGTCTTTGCTGGGAAAAGTCAGGTAGTGCCGAGAGAGGTGGGGATCTGACACATGTTTGTATGGATGGGCTGGCTGGAGCAAGTCTGAGGCTGCTTCTTGTACCAGATTCAAAGATTTCTATTGCTCTGTGAAAGATCTGAGTAAGGTTGAGTGAAGTCCTCAGAATCTGCACCTTCCATGTGTGTTTTACCAGATGGCTAACGTTAACTGGTGAATGGGAATGTCTGGTTTTGGCATGGCCGTAGTAATTTTACTTGGGTGTTAAGATGGAGAGGAGTCATGCAGTACTTACAGGATCCCTTTTTACAAGGCCAGGGTTAGGCACAACAGCAATGAGGTGGGCAATTGTAAACATGGAGTTCAGCACGTAAGAAAAAAACAAATTCTTATGCAGTGTTATCCTTTGACAGCTGAGGCTCCTGAAAAATATGTAGCACACATCGTAAATTAGTATTTTTCTTCTGATGTCACTTTAACGAGCTCTTTCTGGCAACAGTCTCTCAAGAATGCCTTTTGGCAAGGCATAATCGGAAAATACATGCCTTACATTGCAGTCATAACCTCTAACAAATTTTTGGTTTTGTTTTTACACCTGTTTAGCACCACATGCTTTTTAGACCACGCTGTAAAGAGCCATCCGGCTACATTCTCAGCCCTTGATGCCTTTCTTTATTTCATGGCAATCGAGATATTAAGTGGTGAAGCAGAACCCTGAGAATTATTAGATGCGCATGATACAAGTAATGAACATCAGGAATACTGCTTTATAAGTAACTGTTCCCTGGAGACTCAGGGAATTTCTCAAATATTCAGATGAAAATTATTTGTTACTGTAGGAATTAGTGGTGAGACAGGATGGGAAATTTGGGCAGGAATCTCCTTAAATTACAGGGAGATTTGTGTTGTTATCCTGAATGTTTCTAACTCCAGCTGAGATCCCAAACCAGAAGAGGTTGTTTTCCTGCTTAGAAGGAGCAACAATCTTTTCCGAATGACTGATTTGGGGGAGGGTAGGATTTCTGCTAGTGTGCGTAGCAGAATTTCACAAGAGAAGTTTGCAGAATTCTTGTGAAACCAAATCATGACTGCAGTTTCAGACCTGAACCGTCTCCCCTTTCTAATTCATGCCCAAATCCTCATGCCACCTCCTCCGCTACCCCTGATGCAGGGAACAACATCCCTGCAGTGCTCCATGTCCCGGAGCACAGCCCGGGGCTGGCAGGAGGTGATTGCAGAAAGGCAATCATGGAGTTGTTAGATAATGCTGTGATGTCTGTATTCAGTGATCACTGAGAGCAAGCAGGCAAAACTGGTAGATAAAAAACAGCTAAGAAGAGCAAGTATTGCTGTCTCGCTGAGGTAAGCTTCCCCCCTTGGAACTAGGAGTCTTCTGCAGTCTGGAAAGGAGCACAGGCTGTGACTTTCTGATGCTTTGCGTGTGGATGTCAATGCAGAATGCACTTTCTTTAAAAACAGAGATCTAATCTAACCAAGTGAGCTCTTTTCTGCTAATTTTGCTTGTTTGTTTATGTATTTATTTTCCCTTTTTAGCTCCTTGGTCACCTGCCACTTATTCTTAGTTCTCCATATACCTATTTTCTGAGTCATTGGATGGAATTCTTCCTTTAGCTTGAGGTCATCTTTCTGGTTATGGTCATCATCATCCTGCAATGCTCATCACTTTTGTTGACCTCCTTATTTACCAAGATACCTTCTTTGGTTCAGGATGTCCATGAGATGTAGGTCCTGGGGGCTAGGAATGAGAATATCTCCTTACACTTGCCCTGATTTTATATTCTTCCTTTAGTATCAGATATTGGCAACTGATGAGCACCAGATATGGAGCCAGGTGCGGTTTCAGTTTGCTGCACTTGGCCACAGAAATGTAGACTCTTGTCTCTCCAGCTGCCTGTCTACATGGGTACCGGTACAGAGACAGTCCTTTGTGAAAATCTCTGCCAGGTACACATGCCTCCACTCCCATTTCTGTCCTTCCTCACTGCTCCGCTTGACTTTTGCCACTCTTACTCCTTTATTAGTTTGGACTGTCCTTCACTGCATGTTGCCTTCACCTGCTGTCCAAGCTCCTTTCCCTGCCTGCTGTCCTCTCTTAGTTTTACTCCTGCGTTGCTCTCCTCCTTTCCTCTCAACACTCCCCACCTTTTTCCTTGACTTCAGCTTTCACGTTAAAGGCCCACCTAGATCATTAAGCATATATTTCCATACCCTCACTTTTTTAATTTGACCTTCAGTGTTTGCCTTCAAAATGGCGTCAGCACCTGCCTGACTCATCCCACACCGAGAGGAAAACATTTTAGCAAAACCAAAACCCTTACTTGATTCATCCTCTCTTCTGGTTTTGACAAACATCTGTAATCTTCTCCTTCTCTGACCTCTCTTAGCTCTCTTTCTGGCCCTCTTCCTGATTTCCTAATCATTCCTTCATGGTGTTTTTGAAGGCTCCTTGTCACCCCCCACCCATCTTTCTATATGCTCCCTACTTCACTTCATTAATCAGTATGCAAGAAGGCATCACTAATCCAGTTACCTGTGTTGAAAAATTGTGAGTTTTTTGTGTCACTATGCCTCTATCAATTGTGTCTCAGAGTTTCAGAGTCTCCTGTGTTTCTCGTGGTTCCCCTATGTTTCACATTTATTCTATGTCTCCTACATTTCCTTTGGCAGAGATAGGTTCTCCTATCTACTCACGGAGTCACCCTTACTTTTGCGTTCCTATCCCCACTTCTATATGGCATCTAGGATATTTTGACTTCCAAGGAGTTTTTAGAATTATTTTCTTCATGAATCTGTCATTTCTTCTCATTCATGAATACTGAGAATACTGCCTTTCACTGCCAGCCATTTTCCATCTCCTACCCACTTGTTTAATTTTCAAATTATTTTCATGCTTTCTACCATGCTCTCCCTTACCCCTGGGGAAGACTCCCAACAAACTTCCACAAATTATCTTTCCACCCATTATCCTTCTTCAACTCCCCCTTTAAAAGCCTTGGCAACAAGTAGACTGCAGGTGCATTCACAACACACCATCTATTATTCTGGCAAATCTAGACTTATTGTACTTCCCATCTGTCTTTATACAAATGTCTTTGTTTTAATAATTCAACTGGAAGTGATCTGGAGCTAGGAGTCCCTTTTCTCTTTTGTATTTTATCGTATAAGATAATGGGGTCTCAGTTTGCAATTATAAAAGTATCACATTAATGTGATCATGCACGTAACTGTTAGACACTACTTTATGAATAGTCTGTCTCCTGTTATGAGTTAGTATTGCTTAGTGATGCTCATCACTACTGATTCAGTATTCCCTTCCAAAAGTACTGCAACATCTGTGATGCCAGATCATTATGAATCTTGATACCCAAAACTGAAAGGAAAATAAAGCTCTGCCAGGAGAGGCTTATATGTGGGAAACAGCAACCTCTGCAAGCCGTTTGTTGCTGCCTCTACAGTCAAAGGCTATTATACAGTCCTGAAATAATCTCCTGCTCTCTGATTGACTGTCTGATTGACAGCTCGCGTTCTGTTGAAGGTCAAATAATCTATTGCTGTCATAGCCAGATGATAGAGAACAACTGAAGGTAACATGAACCCTGCGCCCATACAGGTTTATTCTCACTTTCTTATGATTGTAGTTTGGTTTCATCTTTGTCCTCCCATTTTGCAGTGCTTTGTTTTAATTCCTTTCTCTACTTCTTCCTGTAACCTTTGTGTCATGGATTAGTCATGGAAGGGGAAGGAGAAGTGGAGGAGGAAAGAGAGGAGGAGGTGTGTTACTGTCTGGAAGGCTGCTGCAAAGATGAGTCTTTCAGCGCGGCCTGGGACCGGTCAGGATTGTGCGTTGTCCATGACTCAGAGCTAAGAGTGAGTCAGCCTAATCCTGCCTCGCTCACTGCAGGGAATCACCTTCCTCATCCATTTTGGGCAGCCAATTTAACCAGAACCTGTCTTTACTGTCCCAAAGAACTCTGAAGCCTGGGTATAGGATTTCAAATCAGATTAAATTGTGTTCTTCCCAGTTTTCTCAAAGCATTACTGTGTCTGTGGTTTTGTCCTCTTCATCTTTACTTAGATGGGAAGGGATTTCATCAGTTCATTGGGCAGTTTCTAGCTATCTCTGTATCTGATTACTGCACATTATCACAGTCACTCATCAAACTGCCTCTCTGGAAATTAGCAGAATTCATAACATGTATTTGGGATCCACCTATTTTGAGCTTGTAATCTTACAGACTCTTTCAGTCTATACAAAGTCCAACTATTTCATTTTTCTATGTTTCCTAGACTCACTCTTGGTGGTGGTGATGTTGGGGGCTTGTTCTTTTACTATCCTTCCTGTTTGACAGCTGAGGCAGAGACATCTAATTGTATAGCCCTAGGATTTATGCCAGCTTCTTCTGGCTGCTCAATTTACTAAGCATACCCTTTTCAAGCCCATATGGACACCCTCATCTGTGGTGTACCATTCCAGGGACCAGCAGCAGATAAAGTAACCAGGGACAAGCTTTGCATAATGTTAGTAAGGAAATTACTGCTAGGAGGCACACAACCTGAGCATATCCATAGATATGTAGTATGCATAGATGAAAATTGAGACCAGAAATAGGCTAAGGTGCCTCGTCTAAGATTTAGATTAAATAATACAGGGACTCTGAGGCTAGAACTGATTTAAGCACTGGCACAAGGTATCTGGGGTTTTGTGGAGCACCTTTACTGCAGATTTTTAGAGCAAGGCAACCATCCCTTGTGCACTGGAGGTGGGGTTCAGCAAGGGGTTCTTTTTATTCCCAAATTTATGCAATTACTGTGCATGTGTAAGCTGGAATTCTGTGTGCTGATGGATTCTACAAATCTTCATATGTGCGTTTGTGGCCAAAACCCCACGTCTCAGAAACACAGATAATGAAGTTGATGATATCACACAATCTAGCATGTAAAGTTTGTCACATTGCATTGAAGTTTTTCACTTATGCTGTGGAATATTAGATCTATCAATTCCAAGACACTTAACAAATGTCAGTTAGTTTAGACACATAAAAAGTCTGTACTAAAAGAGTCATGGTAACTGTTTAAAACCAAATGGTCATGATAGAAAATGCACTAGCTGTGCTTCATTATGATTCCTTGGCCTTACAGGTGACAAAAAGGAATAGCTGAATGTTTACAGAAATACCCTTTGTTTTAAGTTAAGCCTGCAAGATAAAGGAATAGAAAAAATGACCAATTTTTCCCTTTTCAGACTTGGAAATTTCAGTGTGAAAAACTGCTTCGGAAAATAAAGGTTCTATGGAGAACTAACCCTGGTCTTTTTGAAAATAAGGCATATATACATTCATGATTTGGCATGAGTGGGAAGGTATTAATTTAGAACCTGCTTATAATTCACAGTTACTATTTTGGTCACTAAGATCTGAAAAAACTCAATTGATGTGTTTGTTAAATTTGAGTTGGGAGATTTGAGGGCTTATTTTTGGCTTTCATTTTTCTAGAAACATCAACCAAATAAAACCAAATGATAAATTCTGACCTGTATACAAAAGTCATGCTCTCTATCTGCCTGCTGGAAAGATAATTAATGCCTAGAAGTATTCTACACTTCTGGATTGCAAATATGTCTTTGAGCTGCTGAAATAGTTTGATGAATACACAAAAGAATATAATTTATGTTTCTATGAGGATGATGGTAAAGAAACAAAAAATTGTATTTTGGATGCTCATCAAGGGCTCAAATCTGTTGACATTCATGTAGAAATAAGCTTACTAATACTCTCACACAGGCCTAGTTGTGTTCTGGCACAATTTAGTTTGAAATAATTTCTTGCAGGCTAAATTACAACCTTGAAACAGTATACTCTTACAATGACAACAGTGATGGACTTTTAGTTACTGTAGGTTGCCATTAGTGTGCAACTATTCTTTCTTAAAATCTGTAAAGAAGCTTGTGAAGAAAAAAAGATTTTTTTGTGTTCCCTTTTCCTTGTATTCTTGACTGCTCAAAGAATACTGCATTCTTTGAAGAGTTTGGGGTTTTTCTCTATTCTTGAATGAGGTAAGTTTTTTGGCAATAAAAGTCTTACTTTGTTTCCCAGTGAGCAGTGTGGGGAATACTCCTTTGTATCCTTGGAAACCTTTATCCATTTGGAAAACTTTACCTGGCCTTTTAGATTATCTTGCAGTTGTCTCCATATATACTTTATTGATGGTGAGCATTTCTCTATCTCTGGTCATGAACTGATGGTCTGGCTATCTGCTTGCAAGTAACTGATGTGCATTTGCTGACATCAGTAAGATTGGGTCATTATACTGGATGTATCATTCTGTTTCATCAAAGTACCTGTGAATGGACATTACAACCCTGATTTCTGAGTGTGCTATCAGTAGGGGAAGTTTGCAGTTTATAGTAATGTTACAAAAGTGAAATACCTTAAAAAAATTGCTGAAAGAGCTAGGACAATATAGCTTATGCAAGTCATTATAGCTCTGGATGTACAATAGCTCAGGATCTTGTCCGTTGTTTATTCTTGAATATTTTCTTCACGGCCTTTGATGTCTTCTAGTGCTTACCATTTCCCTGAGCTGAAAACTGAAGGCTGTTCCCAGACAGCCCTTCACTACTGATTGCAGCTGAACCTGTGACTGCCTGTCTGACAGCAAATCTGAGCTCCCTCTGCTCCTTCACTGCAGACACATTATAATAAATGGTGTGCAGACAGGTTCACTAAAGGATAAGATTTAAATGCTCTAGTTAAGTTGCCATACAGTAGCTGCAGTGCTTTCAGTGAATCTCAATTTAGTCTCCTTTAAAGTTCTGATATAGGACATCACTGTTTTTCCTTTTAATGATGATGACAGGCTACTCACTAGTGTCAGATTCACTCTTAGTGCTGAGTCCTGTAAGCACCTACTCAAGTCAATAGCTCAGTCCTTCAGCATCGGATGAAGGTATTCCTGTTCTTCAGGAGGTGGGGGCTCCAAGCCAATGCCCTGTGTAGTCACTGCACCTGCCCAGGGGCTGGACATGCCCTTCAAGGAACAATAGGCAACTGGTAAATGAAGGGCCCTACCGCACCCCCAATTACACCATTTCCCTATGGGCTGCACTTTTACAGCACTATTGATAAATCTAACAGCATGATCTTGGCTATGCACTGCATGTCCCATTGGTGAAAAGACCCTATGCTGAGACTTTTTTACCAGGATTATATAAAAAGGCACTCAGAAGAGCTGTTCCTCACTGCCATGTCTCCTTCCAATCTTTTCTTTGGTTACCACTTGAGATCCCTCAGGGAAAGAGGAGAGAATGTCTGTAAGAAACACTTACTTGAAATAGAAGAAAATTGCCAAGGAAATCAACAGGGATGTTATAGACAAAGCATGGCCAACGATCGCCATATAATAAAGTATGAACGCCATCTGCAATTTAACAAAAAAAAAAGGCAAACATGAACAATTTGCAGGCACTCACTTTTTTTTTCTCATTGCGGAAGAATCTACAAAATCAACCCCCCATTTTGTATTTCTTTTCTTTCAAAAGTTCTTTTTCAATATACTTTTAATATCAGCAGTCTATTAAATAGCATGACTCATGGTCTAAAGACGAGATAAGTGTTTCTTAGATGAGTTGATCTGTTTCTGCTGCGCTGAAGTAACTGGTGAGATCTCTGCTCACACTATGTGTAACTAACTTTCCCGAGCTCTAGGACAGCACAGCAGACATAACACATTCGGATTTTCAAAAGCCCACGACAAGTTTCCACACAAAAAAAGTTGTTAAAGGAAATAGGTTGCCACAGGACTGGTAGAAAGCTTTTATTGTTTTTAAGCAGCTTTAACAACAGGGAGAAAAATCTTAATCGTCGCTTTTGGAGATGAGTCAGTGGTTAGGTGCCCTCAGGACTGGTATCAGGGCTGGCTTTTTGTTCAACATATTCATTAGTAACCTGATGCAGAGAAATCTCTAAGTTTCCAGGTGATACTTAGGTCTTCCAGGTAATAGTGAGGGACTACAGAAGGGCCTCACATAACTGAGGGGACAAGAAGATGCCATATGAGCTTTAATACAGAAAAAAGTGGGGGGATACACCTAGGGACAAATGATCTAAACCCTGCCTACACAATGCTGAACTCAGAACTAGAAACCGCACTCGGGAAGGAGATTTTGGAATCATCCTGGCCAGTTGTCTGAATCACTGGCTTAGTGTGTAATGACAGCCAAAATGCCAACAAAATGTTGGATATCATCAGGAAAGGCACTGAGGGTAGAACATCCTTGTGCCTCTGCTTCAAATTTTCATAGCACATCTTAAATGCATGTGTGTTTCTTGTCTCCACACCTTATGGACACAGCAGAGCTAGGAAAGGTGGAAAGAAAGCAACTAAAATGACTGAGGTAGAGTAGCTGTGCTATGACTAGTGGGTACAAATGCTGGGATTCTCCCCTTTGGAGAGAATTCAGAGGGGAATGACGATTAAGGCCTACAGAATCATGAAAGCAGCAGATGAGATCAAAATTATTCTCAACTCCTACCACACTAGAACAGCACAGCCTGAGACACATTCTGGTTCACACTGGTGTGCACCTTGCTATTGGGCAACTAGATGGTCTTACAGTGCTGTGAAACCAGTATGCACGAACAGATAATTGGGCTTTCACTTTGACTAATGTCAGTGAAATCTAAGATAGGCCTATCCATGTTTTGTATGCCAATAGTAAAACAAAATCACAGGACAGCACCTGGGCTGCAGAATGCTGTGGTATTTAAATGTCATACTTTGGTCTCAGCCAAGCTCTTAAGCATCATCCAGCTGTCAGAAGACTGCAGGAGGCTAAATCGCATGCCAGGCTTCACCATTGCCTTCTTTTCTGAAAGCACTAAGATAGTATCAGCCTGTCCTGAAAAAAAGACTAGATAGCAGGCCTTAGTTCCTCTGCTGGGTTTATTTTCTTTTCAGCTCCACTTCATTCATTTTTCTGTTACACGTGAGCAATTTTCCTTTTTTTCAACAATTAGATGAATTGCTTTCTGTAGCCCTAAGTTTTGCCACTCACATTTTTGTGGCGTTTGCAAGTAATTTTAAACTTTTATTTGAAAACAAATATGAATAAAATTTAGAAAACAAAGCCATTTCTCTTAGCAAAGGTGCACATCTTCTTATTTAGGTTGTTCTTCAGTCATTTTACAACTTTGGAATCAGTTCCTGCTTTCATCAACCTAGGTGGTGGTGGCCTGATTCAAATTTAAGCCAAAGTCACATTTACACCATCCTGACCATGTAGAACAGACATGATCTGAGTGTAAATATCATTCACCAAATTGTGGATATCTATGCATATTTACTGCAAATATCCTAGGTCTCCTAGTTTCCTTTCACAAAGACTAACCACAACATTGCTAGTAAGCGCAAATGCTTGACAACTTGTTCTGAAGCACCAGCAACCCCAGAGAGGGAAGAGCAAAGTGCAGAGAAGATGAGACAACTTTCTGAATACAGAGTAGTGGGAGAGGTTTGCACCTGTGTGCATGTGACATTTCTGCTGCTCCATACTAAGTGGTTGCTGTGGTTTTTCACGATATTAGACTGATATAATTTTTAAGCCTGAATTTAATTTACAGATTAACTGTTCAAAAATATGTTGTTGTGCTGCCTATCCTGTATCCAACCCTGAGCCTGAAGCAGCTAGAAGTAGGAAAGGCTTCCAGATAGCTACATGCAAGTATATGTGCACCCCAGAGGAGTCTTGGTTATTCAAACTATCTACCTTTCAGTGTACAACTGCTAAATCAGTTTAACTGTATATCTGGGGCTCAGCAATAGCATTTTTGATTACTCCATGTAAACTTACTATGGTAACTGCTCAAAAAAAGCTTTCCAAATACAACAACAAAGACAGATCAGAATGGACTGAACCATCAGCTAACAAAGCATATGGTCTACCACCACATTTTAAAGAACTGGCTACAGTAATTTTTTTTTTTAAGTGATCTGCCTCAAAAGTATAGCATGTTGGTATTTCCAGTTAACTTCAACAAATAATGAACTGTTTTATTAATTTCTGCACTCCTTGAACTGGCAATCTGTCATGTCCGTTCTGATATATAGGACTTATAACACACTGACTCACCAAATTTTTAGCTTACGCAGATTTTGTCATCCTGGGCTTAGAAAACTTCTAAAAGAAACACTTAAATGTTCTTTTTTTGTCCCTCTAGAATTCTTCACTTGAGGAAACAGAATTCTTGAATAGGAATACCTCCTACTCAGTTAATTATATTATCTGTAGGTCCATGGAAATAGTCTACAAATGAAGCATACTCTTGTTTTTGAAGACTTGGATTAAAGGTCATAATCTAACTTGGCATTTCTGTAAAGATAGATTCTTTCTGCATTTTCCATTTTTTTTTGTTTCAGAAGAATCTCGATGTACGTATAATTTTCCTTTGTGTTCTATCTGCACTTTGCTTGAATGATGTTCAAAATTGTTCTTCTGGAAACGTGGATAATAGGTAACAGAACTACATTTGTTGCCTCCCTACATGCGCCAACATCTGGAAAAATTATATTTTTATGGTGCTTCCATTTAATGCCTCTGTGAGCTCAGAATGTTACTATTATTCTCTGTCACATAGGTGAGCCCCATTTTACCATGATGGTTCCTCATGCAGCAAAAACTTTTAGAATTCACCTCCTGCCTAGTCCAGTAGACTTTTCCAAGGCCCTTTAGGCTGGATCATTACTAAGTATAACCACATACTGCTTTTTGGCTGCATAAAAAAAGATCCTCCAATACAAACCCCAAATCAAATCACTTTTTGACTCTTTTCCTTCCACAATTCCAAATAGTCACAAATTATTCTGTCATAAATCTGTAATCAGATTTTCCTGGAGCTCCACTCACATTTGAGAAATATGTTTATTTTCATGAGCTTCCCTAACTTAATTTTTTTTAAGCTTTTCTCAGATTTCTCTCTCCTTGTTTCTTTTGGTGCTTTTATATTTAGTTCTCCTCTTTCAGCTTAGCAACTTGATTTTGGAAATATTAATGCAAACGCTTAATTCATTATTGTAAATAGTCTCAATGACTTCAGTCAAACTGTTAAAGTTAAATGTGTCCAGGCTTGTAGGATTTTCTGGATTAATGGTACCTTCATAAATATTTCTTTTCAAAGGGAGCAAGTACAGGGTGATATTCTTTGTTTAAGAAAAATAATTTTAGCTTACATTAATATTTCTAGCCCTGCAGAGAAGACATCAACAGCTTGGAAGATACTTGTTACAGAAAGCAAAATTGAAATTCTAAAGGATCATTTTATAACTGTTGGACAATCAGGGAAAATCATAGGAATTAAAGAATGCATTTGAAAAATACTGCAAAACTTGTCACATGAATTGCTACTAAATTATCCACCCCATAGCAAACCTATATTTAGGTTTGAGCACTCATCAAATAATTTTAATAAGCTAAAATCATGAGGACAATGCTATTCAATTCTGATGCAACAAATTGAGCTGAAAGATGAGAACTATTCTGGTCTCTCTCATTTGTGTCTTACTGCTAGACAAGCTCAAAACCATTCCCAAACAATCACTGCCTTTTTAACTGTAGCATACCTTCAATTTTTCAGAGGTGAAAGAGTTGCACAGGGTATAGTTGGACCAAGTTCGGTTGCTTTCAGGATGGCGGAACCAGTTTCCAGTTTCATCACAGTATTTTGAAGCCCTCTCTGACAATAAATTGCAAGAATAGTTATTTTAGCATATGCATATTACATATTTAAAAAAAACATAAAAAAAGAATTTCTATGTTTGGAAATAAAATGCCTGTGTAACAAAATCCAAAGGATTTTCAACTTATGCAATTAATATACATTTGTCTGTTTTGGTTTTTTTTCCTCAGAGATTTATCTGATGGTATACTTGTTTATCTGTTTCTTTTTGTCTTGAATGAATACAGCAGAGAATATATACCCAGCCTTCATTCAGATGCAGTTATTTATGTGTTAATAATTTATTTAAGGAGGCTGTTGAAAGCTGGTTTTGGAAGAGAAAGTGTCCTGGTTTTGGCTGGGATAGAGTTGATTGTCTTCCTAGTAGCTGGTACAGTGCTATGTTTTGAGTTCAGTATGCGAAGAATGTTGAGAACACTGATGTTTTCAGTTGTTGCTAAGTAGTGTTTAGTCTGAAGTCAAGGATTTTTCAGCTTCTCATGGCCAAGCAGCAAGAAGGCTGGAGGGGCACAAGAAGTTGGGAGGGGACACAGCCAGGGCACCTGACCCAAACTGGCCAACGGTGTATTCCATACCATGGGACGTCACATCCAGTATATAAACTGGGGGGGGCTGGGGGCAGGGGAATTGCTGCTCAGAGATAAACTGGGCGTCAATCAGCAGGTGGTGAGCAATCGCACTGTGCATCATTTGTATATTGCAATCCTTTTATTATTACCGTTGTCATTTTATTAGTGTTATCATTATCATCATCAGTTTCTTCTTTTCTGTTCTCTTAAACCGTTCTTATCTCAACCCAGGAGTTTTACTTCTTTTCCCAATTTTCTCCCCCATCCCACCGGGTGGGGGGGAGTGAGTGAGCAGTTGCGTGGTGCTTAGCTTCTGGCTGGGGTAAAACCATGACAGAAAGTAACGTTAGGCCCTGACGCCGAACCTGACAGAAGTGTGCGCAGGCAGGCAAACACAGTGATGTCTGCATATCGTTAGTTCTTGTCCCAACCTGCATTATTGATGTTGGAACATGAATGTGCCCACTGGCTAGCATGCAAATCTAACTTTTTGTTTTCAAACCTGACACTCACTAGGACGTGCTGGTAGCCATACACAGATGCTAGCAGACTGAATCTTGCAGCAGGCTTTCAGGTATCAAGGGAAATAATTAGTTAAAAATGCTGTGTAGAGAAAGGGCAGCAAGCAGTGTATGAAACAGAGCCTGGGTGCTGGAGATGATGACAGCCCCAACACCAGCCATGTGCTTATGCAGAGGGATGGAAGAGTCCTGCCCAGTCTGTGTGCCAGCTAAATCCTGCCAGGGGTGAGCAGGAGCACTGCTCCTTTTCCTCTGAGGCTGCAAAGCATGCAGGCACTGGGAGAAGCAGCCTTGCAAACATTTTGGCACAGGTCCCAAGTGTCCAGTTTAATTTGAAATGGCTGCAGAGCTCTCTGTTTAAATAATCTGATGTGTGTTTGGCCTCTCCACGTGTGTCTCTGGTGCTGGTTCCTGCACCACAGGAGGCTCTGGCATCCTTCCCGAAAGCCCTGCCATATGGATTGCTCTCCAGGCTCATGCTCCTTCCTGTGCGTCCTTTTACTGTGGCAGGGGGATGGTCAGGGCTTTAGCACTGTACAGCTCTAAGGGATGCCTGGAGCCACAGATGTGTGCTGTGCCTGTGTCCTCCCAGCCACGCTCACATTTCTGCCTGGGAAACCCTGGATGCTGAGGCGCAGACAGTCACTTCTAATCACTTGTCAAGTTTTGGACTAGTTCCTTTGGCCTTCCCTCAGACATTAGCCAAATGGGAGTCACTGGAAAGTTTGCCCGAGTAACAAAGGCAGGACAAGATCAGAAACTTAAATTATTTGATGTTTTCTTAAATAGTGACACAGTTGTTTATTTATGAAAAACAGACGTTTTCAAGTCTGACTTTTAATATAGTCTAAAAAGCCTATCTTGACTTCCCTTTGCCTATTCTAGCTTTATAATTTTATGGGCTTTATACAGAGATTAACAGCATTTCTGGTCAATACACTTTTACAGAGCCAATTACCATTTAAACATACACATTTTCACATTTTGTGTTCAACATTTGCATTTATTTTTCTTAATCAGCTCTGATGATTAATGAGTCTATTCATTTGGAATATTCATATTCCCTCTATACACCCTAAGGAAAGCAATCGATCATACTGGCAAGGTAAGGATTGTACAGACTAAGCTATCCTCCTCTGACTAGAAATACACTTTATATAGTGCCATTGAAAAAAAAAAAAAAAAAAAAAAAAAAGACAATCCTCCAGAACAGAGCATACTTTTGAAAATACTATGAGTTTCAAATCATTGTTTTGGTGGACTTGTTGAAAATCAATACGTGCATCAACAACACCAAGAGGAAAAGTACATGTTATCTCAGCCTTGCATTGCTGAAGCTTGGAGATAATCTCAGACCGCCTGTGTAGCAACGTTCCCATTGTACTTGTTGCCAGATATTATCTAAAGCTGGAAAAAGTTTTCAGTCATAGATAAAAGATTAATGGTTACGCTACCACGGAACACAGTGTACAAACATTGTACCTACTATCCCATACACTCTGCAAAGTACACGGCTTTTGTTACTATGCTATAGAGTATAATGGTAATACCATCTATCATCTCTGTACTTTAGTGCCTAGGTAGGCACTCTGCCCAAGTTTAATGTGGACTCTGTAAGTTAGAGACAAACCTGTTGCCTCATACTTTTTCTTGAAGCCAGACAAGCACAACTGATCCTAATCTGGAAGCGGCTATGTCCCACAGATTTCTTGCTGTGACGTTGTCAGAATATGGGACTGGGCGATAAGCCTCGCTCCCGTCCATCCCAGTGACTCAAACAGGTCAAACATCTTTTCTAAATCTATGATTTTATACAGAAATAAAGTTGTGAGTCTGTAAGCCAGCCACTGTTCTACTGCAAGTTATTCTCCAGTGGCCCAGCAGCAGGTGTGGGATTATGAACGTGGGCACGTGTTGGTTTTTATGCTAACCAGAAGAATCTAGTAAGCTCTGAAGAATGTAAGGTAAGGCAATTCCAGCAAGGCACAATGGAAGTGTGTGCTTTAAGACTGTTCAAATACTATGTGAACACTAATTTTTTAGGCTCTGTCTGTACCCTATCAGCTTGGATAGGGCACCACGTGGGCATCACATTATTCAAAGTGGAGGAACAGTGACATTGCATGGGATTCGTCTCATCTGACTTTAGCAACCTCAAAGTTATGCAACTCATAGGCAGTTGTGCAGGCTATCTGTAGTTAGCTTAGAAAGACAGACACTTCAAGAGCTGTCTGGGAAAATAGGGTAAGAGAAATCTTGTGCATGAGGGCAGTTTCATGGGAGTAGTGAAGTGTCTAAAAAGAGTAATGAGTGGTAATGTTTTTGCGTGTGGTATTGCTTGTGCTACGAATAGTGTTTTATGTATCATATTTTCATAAAACCAACTCAGTCATTTATATGTAACAGTTATCTTCACTTAATAATTCTGGAACAAACAGGATAGCTCTATCAATCATTTTTTTTACAATTAGACCAACTCTATAGCTAGCAGATGTTAAAAGAGTCAACACCATTTTTTTAATTTATTGTTGAGTTACAAGCTGGAAGTAGAAAGAAGTTTTTCCTCTGTTTCAGTGCGTGCTCAGCACATACCAGACATTGGATTCTTTGCCATTGTTTGGACAGACCTGTGTAGTACTTAGTTTTGCAGATGAGGGAATAGCTGATGTAGCACATGTGATTCACATCCTCAATAAAATATTCTTGAAGAAAATTTTTCAAAACCAAAAAAATCATCTGATATAATGCAATGGAGACCCTAGAAAACTTTCAGTTCCAGTGTCCTGGTAAGTGAAGTTATCACTATTATCAGAATGTCTCAGTCAGCAGAACTGGAATCTGTATAATAAAGTCATATTGTGCACTGTGGGGATAAGAATTGATTTTTAAAATACAGCTGTCAAGCTTACTAAGAAGCAGGACAGAAACATACAGAAGGGTAGGAGGAAAAGAAGCAGCTGGACAAAGTGATCAGGTCTGTTTTATTTATCACTGTCTAAATGATACCACTTCAAGATGGGAAAATAGGACCAGCAGAAATTCAGAGCTGGCTTTTTTTAGGCAGAGTCAGGAAAATTGTGTTTGTGGCAGCAAGAGAAGGGCTCTCCCAGGCTTCTCCCTGGTCTTCCCTAGGCTGCTCAGGGTGCCCCAGCAGGTCCCTGGGGCTCCTGCCCACAGAGGGTGCTGCTCCTTACCTGCCCTGAGCGCAGGCATGTCGCCCTGCTGAGCCCCAGTGCTGGGTGGGAAGGAGCACAGGATGGATTGGGCATGCAGGAGGGGAGGCCACGGTTAGGCAGGTTCTTGCATTAGGGGATGCCTGAGGAAGTGGCCTCCCTGCCTGCCAGGAGCCAGGGGGTGGAAGGAGCCGCAGCTGCTGCTGCGACCCAGAAGGTCTCTCGCCATCTCTGGTTTGTGGAAGGCCATGGTTTCTCATCTGCAATGACTGCTCTTGTCAGCTTGGCAACCTACTCAGCTGAACACTCTGAGCATTTTGCCAGCTGTGAGAAGGGTGTGCCTCTGTCCCCCAAATCCAGTCCCTTGTGGTCACAGGCATCACAGCTGATAAATGCAAAAGGGTCTGCAAGAGCTATTCAATCTGTACCCCCTTTTCCTGCATGCAGCATTTATCCTTATTTCTCTAATAGTCCTCTATTTTCTAAGAAAGACAAAGCAATTCAGAGACTGCAGTATGGCACAAGAAGAGAGCTGCAGAGAATACAAATACCGCAGTGCCTCTGTCCCCTCCGCCACCATGATCCACACTCCAGAGCAAGGGGACCTCCCTGCCTTTAGTCAGTGTCAGAGCAGGAAGGCAAGACTGTACTTCCACGTTCCTCAGTTGTGAGAGGTAACAACACATTAATCATCATCTGAGCTAATTGTTTATGGATACATATGGATCTGTTTC